TAATTAAAAACATTTTCATTTATTAAAAGAGCAGCACGGTGCTCATGGAAAGGCGTCAGGTGTGGGGGCGAACGAGCGTGTGGCATCAGAAAAGCTGCAGCCGCTTCAACAGAAGATTACAGGCCATTTTTTATATCATCGTGGCTCTTGTAACACACTTCTTAAAATATTTGTATTAACTTGACATTTTTCGGACTTGGTCGAATCCGTCTAGTCCGGAATTTGTCAACTTAAAATACTGAAATGACTCTTCTTATTACGGCACAGGAAAATATATATAAATATGGTAGAATCCGGTTATAACGACTCCGCTTATAGCGTCAGTCCGGTTATTGCGACGGAAACTCGATGGCTTGGTTGTCCCCATACAACGTTATATGAAAGGACCTCCGGTTAGTACGTCTCCGCTTTTAGCGACAAACCGCTTATACCGACGAAATTTTTCATAATTCAACCGAATATTGCGACGAGCCAAAAAAAAATACAGAAAAATATTTACAATAACTTACAGTAATTATTTAAAACACATGCAAAAAAAAAATACAAAAAATCACGAAAATTTTTACAGCGTGCGTGTGTAGACCTCATGCCTATATTCCATGAGATGTCCCATTATATTTCTAGTTTTTTCTTCTTTTTTCCAATAAATTTTAATGCTCAAATTCGCTAAATGTGAATTAATGCACTAAATGCGCATGAAAGTACTTCTCCGTCGAAGAAAAAATGCTCCGTTCTGTTAGTGTGTCTTCGGGGTATAACGTAAAATCGTCCTTTGAAAGTCCCTATAACCGGATTCTACTGTATATATAAATATATATATATATATAAAATATATATTATATGAATATATAATAAGATATATGAATATGTGCATATTTATTAATGTTTAGAAAAAAACTTAGGTTTAATATAGACAGGTTTTATTTTATTCTTCGAATTGTGCAACTATCGTATGAAAACGACGATCATGAATAGTAGTTATACCCGTTACTCGTAGAGAAATAGGGTATAGTAGATTCCTTGAAAAGTATTTAACAGGCAGAAGGAAGCGTTTCTAACCATATAAAGTACATATGTTCTTGATCAGGATCAATAGCGGACTCGATCTGGCCATGTCCGTCTGTCCGTATGAACGCCTCGATCTCAGGAACTACAAGAGCTAGAACGTTGAGATTAAGCACGCGAAAAACTGCCACGCCCACACTATTGAAAAATTGTGTTTCATTCTTTTATTTTTTGTTTATTTCTACCGATATTTAAGAAAATTAAGAAATTTATCGTAATAGTGAGTGGCTAGGAGAAATCGCTTCAAATCGGGATAATATTTCATTCCATTTAATGCTGATTGTTTTACGATTTTTTACTTTTTCTCGACATTGTACGTAGGGGATTTATAATGTCCGATCTACCCGATTTTCTTGAAAACCCGATTGCTAAGCTTTTTCTGCCCAATATATAATAAAGAAACCTAAATTGGCCAGTGTTTGAAAACGTTATGCTATAATCTTTAGCTTTTAAGGTAAAGGCCCTAAGTCGGCGGCTTCCAGCGATTTTCCTGCGGGGCACCACAATGACAGCAGCTTGCTCCTGATCGAGGCCCATTGAATGCCGAAGCAGCTTCTAACAAATTGGCCAACCACTTCGGATGCATGCCGTGCCCAAGATCGAGCTGCTGCTAGTGGTCGCATGTGGTATGTGTGTAGGACCATAACATAAATTTAAATGATAATAGCGAAAACACACATTGCCAGTTACTTTGTTGCTAATTGGGGTATAGGACGACTTTACTCTAATTGAAATACAACACGTCGCGGACTCGACTCCCCAACTTGCAGTCCGCAGAATTATTAGACTTTCCCGCAGAAGGCTTAGTACTGGAGACGGCTTTTGGGCTGTCTTCTGGCAGGTGAACTTGTTTCTCTTTTGGCGCTGCGCTAACCAGACACCATTTATCATTACGGGACCGAACTGGGAAAACTAGATTTCTCTGCCGCCAACTGACCGAGTAGAGACTTCGGCCACAACTTCCAGAGCCAACTCGCTGGAAATCATTACTCCTGGCTCGTTTGGCGCTGCTCACTTTTCGATGATGCCCGAGTTTTTTCGAAAATTAATTTTAATTACCATGCAATGTTGTCGCCAAAAACCCCTCCGGTCGCTGTCTTGTCAATTCTTCATAGACAGCTGATCAATAACATTTTCTTCTGGCATTTCCGCTTCTAATTAAGCTTCAAGCTGATGGTAGTTCGTGCGCTGATGGAACTCAAATCATTAATAAAATAAAAACGATTTTCCAACGCCAAGTAAAAAAATCTTTTTCTTTTACATTCTGACATGTATGTTTGCAAAAACGGATGCTTAAATTCCCTACTTAAATTCTTTTAAATAGTTACCTTTTCTATCTGCACTACCACTGTGGCACGAATTCCTCATAATGACGAAGCAAGGCAAAGAACGCAATGTTGGTAAAATGCATCTTTTATAAGAAATTGTGATTATTTTTGCTTAGTTACTATTTTTGGAAAAAATTTGTTATTTTATCACAATCATAGTGCTTAGCATCACACGCGTTCCCCTTTTTACATACAAGTATATCTATAGATACTTATACTATGTAGTATATATAGATACTTTTAAAATGATCTACATTATAAGCATTGTATTTTTTAAATGTGTGTAAGACCCAACAAGTCAGGACACATTTGGCATTTTATTAAAACCAATAAGAATCGCATCCGCAAGAAAAAGGACCTTATGTTTTCAATTTGAATAGAACAGGAGTGGTTCGGATGATGGTTAGGAATCGTCTCAATGCTATCGCTGAGCATTTCCAGAAACTGGACACCGTAGTGTTCAGATAGACCATCTGGGAGCACACGCTTAGCAAGGCCGCCAGAGATCAGCTTGAGGACACGCGTCATCCGAAGCGGATATCTAATCTCCCAAAGAAATGCGAGATCCAACCGAAACCCGCAAATTCGTGATAGGAGTGACAGGCTGAATTTGATGTATTTTTAGATTTATACAGAAATTAATTTTACAGAACATTCAAATTAGCATTTCAAAAATCTCCACCCATTGCTTGTAGGGTAAAAGGCTATAAATTCGACGCTATAGTCGAGTTTCCCGACTATCAGATACCTGTTACTTGTGGAAGTGCGAACGAAAAATTTCAAGATAAATTGGAAAAAAAATTTAAATTAATAAATAAATTTAAAAACTTTTCAAAGTGTGGGCGTGACAGTTTTGGGTGTTTGGTGGGCATTATAGTGGGCGTGAAAGAACAAATATATCTCGGAGTTTCAAACCTCGATCACATTCCATCTTCCTTGGATTATAGCATCGATATCTTTGGCTTTCTATTAGGTAAAATCCCGCAAAATCCTTGTTCATGATCTTGTATCTTGCCTTGGCGAACCTCGTATATCTTTAATGAAGTTTAGTGCTAAACATTTTTTGTGGCGGCGTGTCGCCTTTTTTGTCATTCCCGGTCCCCTCCTCCCACTTCCCGCTACCCCCCATTCCCACTACATTTAGAAGCCCCAACTACCTAAGCGGCGCGCAACTGCAATGGCCTTTTGCTGCTCGCATTTGGCTCCAGTTCGTTTTTACGGATTTCACTTTTAAGCCATTTATGTACCTTTACTTCGTTTGCTAATTTTAACTTGGCTTTTTTTTAGCCACCCAATGAAGAGCGGTGAGAGTGGTGTCTCATGATGCAATGACCTCGAACTTTGATGGCTTGCCATTTGCAGTTTGAAGTTATGACTGGGGCTTTCGAACATTTCAGTTCCGATAGGAATGGTTTGCACCGAGCGATAATTTCAAATAGGCAGATGCTTTTGGGATTAGTCCAGTTATCTATAGCCGTTTATCTATTTATCTATCTTGGCAGCCCACGAGCCAAATGTCAAGGCAGCCACGAATTCTAACTCTACAGAAAAATCGCATGCGATTTTGTGCCAGCCTGAAAAGCAACGAAAATCGATAAAACTCTCCATGCCCACACTCTCCTGCTCTCACCAACACTTCTGCACGGCTCCCCTTGTGCTGCAAGAGAGAGCTCCCCGAATTGCGCTCTTCGCTGCCCACTGCCCACTGCGCTGCGCCTGCCTGCATCGCTGGCGGCTGCTCTCGAAATCTAAATTTCAAGTTCGTCTCCCGGGCAATCCATCCTGGCAGGGGATTTTGCTTCGGCTAGCTCACTCCCACTTCCCCTGCACTTTCTGCATCAGCGAAAAGCAAAAACGATGCAATAAATACATAAGAAAGGCCACACAACAAAGGGACGTCCCCGCTCCCGTCCTGTGGCCGTTTCCTCTTCCTCTTCCGAACCGTTCCGTTCCGTTCGTGCTGGTTGAAAACGAAACCGGATTTCGTTTTGGTCGATTTTCGCTCACTCTGCCTCTCTGCCTCTCTCATTCCACTTGGTCGAGCTGCCCTTTTTAGAAGTTCTGAGTTGTCTCGTGCTGCGCGCCGCCTCACTGGCGTTTTCGCATTTGACTGAGTTTTCGGAATGCAGTTTTGTTTTATTTGCCTCACTGTTCGTGCCATTCCTGCCTTATTTGCTTGTTTATGTTTATTTTCGCTCTCGTACTTCTCAGCCTGATTCACAGTTTCCGTGCAATGTTTTGCATATTTGCGTAGTGGACAGGTTTTACTTTTATTTATTATTTGTTTTTTATTTTTAACTTTCCGCGACTGGCAAAAAGAGAACGAGAAACTCTTTTGTTTTGGTTTTGAAACGGAACTGGTTTTCTGAGTCAGTTGGTTGCTTGGCCGGCCCCACAGTGGGGCGTGGAGAAATCTCTGGAGTTGCAGGAGGTTCCCTTAGTATTCCCTTAGTATTCTGTAAGTTCGAGTTACTACAAACGAGTCTAGAAACCAACATCCTAATGCATTTTTTAAGGTTGCTGTTATATACTGGTGTCTTGGTAAACTTTCCAGATGATAATACTGTCAGCGGGGGTATAATAAATCAAAATTGCTATTGGTATTCCGTGTCAAATGACTTAGGTACTCCATTTTTGCGCTGCAGAATTGCAACTGCATCTTCGGGCATCGCCGGGCATTCGGGCCACGTCCACGTTGTACAGCCGGAACTCGACATTTCGGCGCCGCACATTGAGCGTGACCACCACGCAGTAGAGTAGCATCTGCAGCTGCTTGGCCAGCAGCACGTAGGAGGCGCCCATGTCGTCCGGGAAAAGGGGTTCGGCCCACGCGGAACAGTCGAACAGGAAGTAGCCTCCATCGCGGCTGGAGCTGTGCCCGAAGCAGAAGTGCCGTTCCCGGCACTCCAGGACGCCACACTGGAAGCGCGTGAAGAAGTAGGTGAGGCCCTCCAGCAAGCTCATTTCGGTGCTGGCTGGGGAGCTATAGAGGTGACCGAAGGCCACCAACTCAGTTTGCACCAGGAATCGTAGGTCCTGGAACTCGCACTCGCTGCACATATCGTCCACACACAGGTGCAGGTCCCAACGCTCGCTCTGCTCCACGCTGGCGCGGTAGTAGCGGTCTCCGTTAACCACTATGGCGTCCAGCAGCTTGCCGCTCCACTCGCCAAGGTGGCGGAATGCACTGGCCACACAACAGGCCACCACGCAGCACCCCAGCGTTTGACGCCCACGCACCTTCCCGTCGAACCAAGGAGCCCTCGGATGCAGACCGCCCCACAGCGACCAGAGTCGTCCCGCCACCTCCACGTCGAAGTTCTGGCTCCGAGCAGCGTCGCACTGCCGCTGACAGCCCTCCACGTTGCGGCGCAGCCGCCGGCTCCAGATGGGCAGACAATTGCACGGCGTCAGCCAGGTCATTGACTCGCTCCGCGCTGACAGCAGAGCGGTCTGCTCCAGCTGCCGTAATATGCCGCCGGTATTGGCACACTCCTCGGTGTGCATTTTCCACATTTTCCAAGTGCCGCCTGTTTCCCTCAGGCAAGATGTAAAGCCGCGTCGTAAGCTTCGGAGGACCATCTGACACAAGAATGTCTCGCACAAAGTTGTGGATGCGCCTGCGCCACATTATGGACGCCACACAAAGGACATTTCCCGAAAAATTGAAGGTGTTGGAGCTGCTTTATGGACAAAAATTTGGAACTAATCTTAAAAACAGAGCCTACCCTAGCGCCTAACTATAAAAGGAATCGACTTCCTGGGTCGATTTGTTACATTTATACAAACACAAAAATTTTAGTGATGCGGCTATCAGATACCGGTTAATCAGCTTAATGGGGATCAGGGTAATGGCTAGGAACTAAGAACTTTACTAGATTTCAAACGATCGCCACTTTGCAGCAATTTCACTTATTGCACACGATTTTCTAGCGTCATTGATCATGGTAATTATTTATTAATTTAATTTATTTTTTATTAATTTAAAGTTATAAAGTGACACTTTTGATGTTTCGCAAGAAGTAGAAATGAGGATGATGAAATTACAAAACAGTATGTATTCTTATCACTAAAAATGCTATGTACTTTAATTACGTTACTGAACATTCTCGGTTACTGTGTGGAAAATATTTTACAAAACTTTCAAAAAATATTCAAATTTGTGAAATTATAATTTCATTTTCAAAAACTTTCATACATGACTCGTCGTCAAAGAAAAACATTGAGGTACATTTTAATAGATAGCTCAGTTTAAAAAATGGAACCACAAATTCTGTTTCTTCGACTAACAGTAATTACATATACACATTACTAGTAGTGTAAAAGAGTACACTAGATTCGTTTAAAAGAATGTAAAATGTAGAAGGAAGCGGTTTTTCAACCCTATAACACCATATATTCTTGTTCGGGAACTACAAAGGCTAGAATGTTAATGTAAATTCTAGAAAAGATCTCCAAAAACTGCCACGCCCACACTTTTGAAAAATGTTTTGTTTTTGTATATTTTATAATTTTCATTGCAAATATCTACAAAAACATTTTGGTCACGCTTACTCGCTAGAAAAGGTGTCAATATGAAAAATGTTAGATATATTTTGTATTTTATTTTTCTTTGTCACTAAACTACATTATTATTACGTCAGACAAAAAAGTTGTCGGTATACTCGTATACAATTTTTCATATTTTATTATACAAGTATGGTTATAAAACATATGTATCGGTCTATTCAAAACTAATCAATTTCACGTACCAAATGCTTGTCGGCCAGCTACTGTATTTAAATAATACTTATTGGTATTACTCCGAAACATTTTCTTAACCCGATTTAGTGGTAATAATCAGTAGCTCACTCTCATACAAACCATAACAATCATGCGTCACAATCAGGGCTATTGCTTAAAACAGCGAGATTGCTTTGGATTTTTGCGTTCCTGCCCCGTTCAAATAATTGCTCCTTGGCCCTGCGAAATTCCACTTCCATCTGGCTAAGGCGTCGTCCGATGTCATCGCGCACCAGTGCAATCGCCTTCATTTCCCGCTGCACTTGCTCCTTGGTTACCGAGCTGCGACTCAACTTGTCGCTAAAGTCATCCACAGAGTGGTCCAGGGTTAGCATCCTGCATTCGAGACCTCGGATATTCTTACGGAGATACTTGGCCCGACTGCTGAGGTCTTCCAACGGCTCGTTGATGTATGACGATTCTGAAATCTTGACAGTGCCGAATTTGCTGATTGGTCGTTCTTGGTCTTTTTCTTTCGGCTCATTAACATAGTACTTGTGTATTTTCAGCAGGTTTACCCGGAAACTGGCCCAGTCCGCAGTGTTTGGATCGCTCTCCATGCCAGAAGTAAACTGATTGATTTCATTTATGATCTGGGCGATTTCACCATTTCGATTGACGTCGCCTTCCCCCGGAGCTGGCTTCTTAGGTTGGCCCCCGCTATTCTCACGCCCTGGAGTCTGAGAGTTATCTTCGGTCTCTCCTTTATTCTCAGATGCTGCGTGATTCTGCAGAACAGGATTTTCGTCCTCCGGGTCCATCAGGCCTCTCTGGAAATGTAGCATTGAGGAATAGGAAATGCCGCCAGAAACTCTTACCTTTATCAGGACATCCTTGAAGCTCTTAGCCTTAGAGGTCAGCTTGTTCATGAATTCGTTTCGCATTTCCCTGACTATGTCAGCAATTCCACCACGATCCGCCGACCTGGACAGAAGACTCGGATAGTCCTCTGTAAGGTCCTCGTTTGAGGGATCGTCCAATGAGTGAATGTCAATCAAACCCTTCTGCGGGGACAGATTTCCATTAACTATCGAGCCAAGGGGCCGTTGTGGCTATACAAACCTCCACTAGAAGACCCAGGTGAATTTCGTCCGCGCTAAGCTCAGATGGATCAGCTAACTCATACCCGGATGGTCTTATCGTCTCTTTGCTGCCACTCTCTTGCAGGGTAAGCAGGCTGTCGGACGATCTCAGATCATCCCACGATTCGGGCACACTCAGCTCCATGGAGGCGTCGTCGGTGGGCAGTTCACGTTCCAGATCCATTCAACCGAAAATTTGCAAATTACCAACGCTTGGATAAGTAGAAACCTATCACTGCAAATTTTAAATACGTAAATTCTTGCTGAAATACTTGACTCGAAATCTCTGGCTCTGACAGTTGACACAGAGTCTCCTTCCTTTCATTCATCGAAGTAGAAAGAGGTGTAGCCGCGGCTGGGATCGTGATAACCAGTCCTGAAGCACAGAGAGCGGAAATTAACTTCGCGTTTCTGTAACGCATTAGCGTAACCAATAATTTGAGGCATCGTAAACACGTCGTAAATTTTGCACACGCAAATTTAGGTCTTAATTTTCTATAGCGTTCAGCAGACAAGCAACTCCAGCTCCCAGTACCACTGCCAGGCGTAATTACAGTCCATTAAATTCGCTGCGATTGCTGCGCTGCTGTTTCTTCCTTATAAATGATAAGTGCTACTTGCTGCCAACCTCCCATGTGATGGTTTGCTTGATGAAACCGTTTCTTGTGTGGCATGCAACAGTCTTTGCTGAGGTGTAACCTATGTCCTACCCCTACGCAGGCCGCGTAACTTGATACTTGATCACTTCGACTATCAGATACTCGCTCCTCGGCTAATCCAGTTCTTATTTAAGCTGCGATGTATCGTTCGCTAAAACTTTTATGGTTTATGAAAACACCTCGGAATATTTTTTGGGAAAAGGGAATATACAGTATGATTAGCCCAAAATCTTGTTTTTCGTTACATACTTGTATCTCCAAAGTACGCGCAATCCAATCCAAGTCTGTTCGAGAGTCTATTTAGTGTCCTCAACCTGGAGTCAACCGGCTTTTCTGGAAAGGTCAAGGACACAAGCAGTCCTTATTGTCCCTTCATCTTTTTTAGATATGAGTTCTCTGGACAAGTGTTGAAATACATATATTTTGCAGACTGCAAACTATTAGAGATCGGTGGCTTGGTTTTTCACAAGGGGCTTTTCATTTTACTTGGCATCGCATCTCTTCGCTCGGTCTCGTTTGGATCGCCAATTGGCCATCCGAACTTGAAATTTGATATCGGGCAACGCAGCAACATGTTGCCGTAGCACCAGCTTGAGCCAAAACCCGAAAACTTGTCGCGCTGTCGCCAAGTGTTGCTGTGTTGCAGTGTTGCTATGTTGCTGTGTTGCTGTGTTGCCCACGTGGTGTCATGAACTTGCCAATCTAATGCAGTTAAAATAAGGAGAAATTATTTTGTGGAAAGTCTGAGCGTCTTTTCCCATGCCACTAAATTTCATGGAAACCTCGAATCTGGGTGAAGAATCGGGGTTTGGCCGAGGTTAATGGACTAAGGCTAAGTTGAGTTCCATAAAGCAAGTGCTCAAAAAACAGTGATCGAAGCATTTAAAGAAAGCAACGCACTTAAATAGTTTTTCGCCATTCCTGAACAAAGGCGAACCAGACCTAATTAATTATTAAAAACTATGTCAAAATGGAAACATTAACTCGTCTTAAGATACTTCAACAACATAAATACATGTTTCTATATACATCTATATATTTATACAGCATATTTACTATACAGTATAATATTTATATATACAAGACTCGTTGAAGTGTAGCACGTAGAAGTAAGGAAGTCTTCCCAACCTATAGGATAATATATACACCCGATCCTACTTAATCCTTGAGCATGCAGATTCTAGTGACGCCTACGCCTCTTGAACTTGTGTCTCTGCGGCATATAAAATTCAAGTTCAAACTCAATTCAAAGGCGGCAAAGGCTGAAAAGAGCAACTGCAACCGACACTAAACAGATCCACGCCCTGTTGAGTAACCGCAACAGCCGAATGCAAATGATGTGGCACCCACCGGAAAGAAGGAACGAGTCCGCTTTGGGTCTCAAGTGACAAGGCACACTCCAGTTAACACACCACCGTCGAAGGACACGTGGCAAGACAATGCTTCATTGATCTTCTGGGAAGTGGCTAATTAGGACTGGCCCTCTCCCAGTGGCGGGCAAATCGGAATGGCAGCTGATTTGCATTGGGCCTAATCCAATCCGGAGCTTCGGTGAGTAGGGGAACGCAGCTATTGAGCCATGTACGTGCACATGCATTTTCCTTAGACTTCCAGTCGCAACCACCCGTTGCATGTGAGCTAATTGAAAAGATGCGTGTTCCAAGCTTGTTTCAGAAGACGGGTCTTCTATCCCCTATCCCGTATCCCCTATTAGTGCTCGGGCTTGGAATCGGAGCTCGGACTTGTGTGGTCTTGTGCGTTGATAGTTGTCAGTGTCAGTGGTGATGACTGACACCTTACACTGTGCCATTTATGTATGTTTTGGATGCTGGCACCGCTTCTCGGGCGCTATTTGTCAACTATTTTGAATGGTTGCTGGATGGGTCTCGACCTGAACCAGTGCAATTATCCTAGCGCAGCGCTTCCGCGTTGACCCGCTGGACCCGTTGGCCAGCATGACGGGCAAATCTCCCTGTACCTAACCCAAATAGCGACGCATTGTCCGGCTAATGAGGGAGCTGCATTCCTGCAACTCACGCAGAAGTGTGCGCAACTTTAATTTCCAGCGCCATAAATCAAACCGCGACCCGGCCGACTGCAGCGCGATGGAAGGCATTCGCTTCTAAATGAAGTAGTTACCTGGTCACTGGTCGCGGTGGATCGAACACCGGACAGGTGGCAATCCTCGAGCAGACCATTCATCTCCATCAGCATCGTCGCGGCCGTCATGCAGGGAATTCAATTCACGCCCGCCAGGAATGCCTTTCAGAGTCCCACTCCCAGTCCCGATCCCCTGTGCATCGCGAGAGGCGATAATTAGTGCGCAATTGTCGTTAACGCCGCCTTTGTCTATTTCTGCCACTTGCCCACTTGTCCACTTGCCCACTTGTCCACTTGTCCACTTGCCTGCTTGGCCATTTGCGGCGAGATGGGCATCCTGAGTCAGCAGATCGTCGTCGGCCAGGAACGTGACGGGCAGCACAAGTGCAGGCAGCCGGCGATGTGGTGCAATGGGATGATCACCGCGAGCCCAGTGCCGCACAGTGGAGGGCACAATACTACGGCCCGCGAGCTGCGCTCGAATGGTGGCTGCATAAATCATAAAATAAGAGACACTAAAAAGGAAAATAAATCAAGTGATAGCGCCTGAAAACCGGGCGGGCATTAGAGAAATCTCTGGCCCGGCTACCAGCTACCAGCTTCCAACTGCCAGCTTCTCCTTGGCCAGGCCGAATATTAATTGTGAGTGCAGGGGGCGCATCAATTCAGAGCTGCGGCATCCACACAAATCGGAACGGAGATGCGGATGGGATGAGCTTGGGCAGAAGCCTGAACATGAAGCTGGGGCACAGACGCATGCGTGACGCTGGAGTGGCCTCCGATTGCCTTGAAATATGACGACCAGTTTTCGCATGGATGTGAAATCTGCTGCATTTCCGAGAAGAGCTTTTCAAACATTTTTCTTATTGACTAAAATATATTAGATGGATGAAAAGCACTTATTTGACCAAATACAAGTCACGTGAATTATGTAAATCGCATTGGTCGGCGTTCCGATTCCTGTATGCGACTTGGAAGCTGGTGCACGCGAGCCCGATTGGAATTGGCCACAAATTCGCACCCATCATAGCCGAGATGACGCATGGGAATGCTCTGGAAAACCAATTTCGAGCTGCAGATGGTTGCGAGTTTCGCCAATTAACAATGGCAGAACGTTAATCGAAACGAAGTACAGTTTCCCCGGCTGGCCAGCACATGCTAATAACGCCACATGTCTCGTTTTCTCGGCCCAAACGCAGTTTCTCTGGCCCATAAACTGACTGCCAACTACCAACTTCTGTCCGTTTGTGGAAGCCTCCCGTTGAGTCGGGACGTGGACGGGCACGGGGACGGGGACGGGATGGGCACCAAGATGGTGAAAACCGGCATGCAGGCAGCAGGCAGCAGGCAGCAGGCAGCAGGCGGCAGGCGGCGGCAAAAAGTGGCAAATGTAATTTAATAAATTAATTACATCAATTAACCGCCGCATTTTTATTGAAATTGCTGTAAATATTGGGCTAGACAACTCGAGCAGCCAGTGGCCGCCATTTTGCGGGGATTTATGGTGCATTTTTCATCGCCGTTCGCTGGAGGAGGGTCTAACTTATGGCGGATTTATGCGACATGGTCCGGAGGAGTGTCCTCCTGGCATGGGGCCAAATGAAGGCGCTTTGTATTGATTAGCGACCGGTGATCCGGACCATGCGATCTAAAACAATTTTCCACCGGCAAGCCGCACGGAGCGATTTGTGCACTAAGTCAAGTGCCCCATCCCATCCGCACGCCGGAGCAGATGGCTTAATTTACGGTGTCGCGCGCGGACGTGACTGAACTGCTACCTCCTCGATCTGCATAATCACCTGGCTACTGACCACTGGCCACTGGTCACTGGCTACTGGCCCCTGGGCACTGGAAAATGAACGAGTCTAATGACAACCGCAATCGGGTGAGCATTAGAACATTGGCTGCATATTGATGCAAAGGTGCATTATTCGAGCTTTGCTTCTGGGTCAATGTCAACACTGTTTTCGGTGGGACGCACTGTACGAATCTTAATCAGTTTGTATAAAATTGGGCCCGCCGCCCCAGCGCTACATATTCATCGCAATGGCACTCAGCTCGACGGTTGTCTGTCTTCTCGCCGGACTCCTTCTCCTCGGTCTCGTGCGGGCGGATGTGGGTGTGGCCACGCAGCGAAATGGGGCCTTGTATCCAGCAGCCGGCTTCAAGCCATCTAGACAGTTTGGCCTACCGGCAACCTTCCAGCAACCGAAGTCCGCTCGCCTGGTAGCCAACAGTGAGGCGCAGGAGGATCTGGACGACGCCGCCGAGGAGGTTGAGGTGACCCAACCCAAGGCAGTTCCTGTGCCACGCCTGAATCCTGCTCCAGGGCCAGCACTGCCGGTGACTCCCACCATCGCATACTATCCGGCCGGAGCCGTGGGCTTCGTCCAGCCAGCCACTTTCGCCAAACTCATCGGAGGGCCACAACAGCCGGCACCATATGCACACGCTCCCCAGTTCTACCAAGCCTATTTTGGATAAGCATGAACAGATTCAGATACAGAGTACATTAACTTTAGGTAACTGTATTAAACTATATTAGGCAAAAAAGGGAAGCCATTATATTTTATTTTTATTTGCAACAAAGAAAGTCATAACAGTTACGGATTTTTCCCACCCTATAAAGAATATATTGTTGATCAGCGAAGTCACTTGTGCTTCTGTCCAAAATATCTGAAACTAAAATAGCGAGAATTCGAATTACGCTTGCAGATCTAAAGACGCCGAATTTCTGCCAGTTTGTTTCTGAAGATCGCCAATGCCCGATCTGACCACAAACACTACTAAAAGTGTTTCAATTTTCTTTTATTTTACTTTTGCCAACCAAATTTTATTCATAAAAGTGTAGAATAGTTGTGCGGGCGTCACCAGTTTTTCACCCAGAACCAGGAAACCCCAAGGTGTTTTTGTTTAATGTCATAATATATCGCTTATGGTCTAAAATTCTTACAAAGAATACTGAATAAAATAATTAATTAAATAAATTACAAATTATGTATTTGTTATTTGCCAGGCCATTTTGTAAAAACACTATTTGAACCCAAATAAAACAACTAACTGTTACGAGAACATCTGAATTGTGGACTTAATGAAATTTTTAGTGATAGATGGTGTTATACATAAATATAAATGTTATAAATTATAAATATAAATATTTATATTTAAATATTTAAATATATAAATATAAATAGATGGTAGTGATAAATAAGTGAATCATTTCCCGTTTCCGTTGCTTATATGTTGGGCGGTATATCTTTCCACATCGGAGTTTTATAGAATGAGTCAACTGGTTACTCGCGTGCCTATACAACCCTGCGCATTTAAGATAAGTCCAACGGTTAGAATGGCATTGCATATTACAATTTAATTTCGATCCTAGCTTGTTTGTGCAAAAGGACTTGCTGCCACTCAAATTACCTCCCAGTTGCCAGAGGTAGCTGCATTTAATTGTGCGTTTGGCCATTCGCACAGTGCGATCGGAGGCCATATGGTGAAACCAGCTTCGTCAAAATGCCAAATCTTCCGACGACAACAATTCTGGCCGCTGGCCAAACGGGAGGGGCAGCTCTGACAATGAGTGAGCAACGATAATCTATTATGACCGTAACAAGAAGTAAATCCCAACTCGCTAATCCATCATTTTACGACTTGGCAATCAAAACAAGGAGTTTAGGTAAGAGTTGGTCTCCCGGTCCCAAGGACGGACAGGCGGACCGGGAGGACGGACGACGGCCTGGCCAATCAGCGGCCTGGCCAGCGAGCTAACGAACAGGCCCAGAACCAGGAAACCCAGATTGGACCTGGCGGGGAACACGACTTTCGGACAGCCGCGTGCGCATTGAGGCCAATCTGTGTGTAACGTGAGGACTCGCCCGGACTGGCAGGTCTGGGCCTTCAGGGGCCCGGCTAAATAGTTGCCAATAATCCGTGTCCAAACTGATCGGGTTGCCGTTTATGGTAATGGGCAAAATTAGATGCCGAAATGTGCGATGGCCGACGAGGCTTCATTACCGATGCACAAACTTGGCAGTGCCTCCCGACTGATTGGCCACGCGGCCACGGTTGCCGGCCAGCGGTCTGCATTGTTATTGCTTCATCAAGTGTGCAGCAGCCAGCGTGTCCGGCACGTCCGGTGTCCACATGGTACACAATGTCCACCATGTCCATAGTGTCCAGCATTGGCGGCAGAAGCCCAAGCAGTGACTGCGTGGCAGAGTCCCGACCCCTGGGGCTATTGCGAACTGCTCAAACATTTTCGAAATCGCATTCAGAGGTGAAGGTGCAACAGTTGCTGGCGTATCTGGTTTCGCGACCTCGGGCGTAGTTAAAGGGCTTAAAGGGGCGGCGGCCAGTTGGGGAAAATATGGGTTAGGTCTTCCGCAGCGCCCTGCCAGCGGTCGCTTAGGGCCTATTCAAAGCAAAATTGCCACGCGCTAAGTCTAATTCCTGATCGCAAGGGCTTGCGTGCTTGGCGTAAACGTGTAAGTTCGGAAGAACAGAAGCTATGACAAACAATCAATAAGATATATGTACATAACTTATACATAACTTATACATAACTTATACATAACTTATACATAACTTATACATAACTTATACATAACTTATACATAACTTATATGTATAACTTAATTTTTAATTCTAAGTAATATTGACTTTACATTTGACTAAATAAACCCACTTTCAAAAATCGGATTGCCTTTTTAAAATATTTATTAGCCGTCTTGCGCATTTTCTTTGAAGCGTGACAAACGATGGAAATAATATTTAAACGGAACGTCAATTTCAGCAAATTTTTTGTTACTCGCTGCAAGAATATTGTAATATTTTTTTTAATGCCCAGTTCCACCAAGCCCACATCGATGGCCGACATACAATTTTTACGTTATTACATACACTTTCACCGCTTTTTGTCCTGAAACGTTTCATTTTTTCAAAGTGGTGTTTCCTTGCCATTGGTGTATTGTTATGATCGGACAACCCACAGCATACTTTAATTTTTAGTGTATACATATATAAGAGTTCCGCAGAGTTTCGCCTGCGGCAATAAATACAGTCAGATGCATTTCCTTAGTAACAATATTTATTTTGTACTTATTGTAGCGTAAAGTGTTTCTGTTACAATGTTCACTCGCAAGACCATTTAATAAAACTTGCTTCTAAAGCAATGATGTTGGGGTTTAACTTATGAATTAAGGTTTTCTTAAAACTTTCATGTTTTAAAAAGCTCTGAATATTTTGAAAAGTTCTGCACTTATAGTGCGCACTAACTCCTATGCTTTCATCTAAAACTCTACAAACTACAAAACTACAAAAGCAAATGTTGAGATTAAGCACGCATCTTCCAGAGAAGATTTGTTTCATTTGTTTCCAAATGTTGCCCACAAACCGCACAAAACTGTCACGCTTAAAATTTTGAAAAATGTTTCGAAATTTCTTCACTTTTCAATATATGTATCTTCTAAATTTCTACAGATTTACCACAAAACTTTCTGCCAAGCCCACTCCAACGCCCACAAACCCCCCAAAAATTATCACGCCCCCAACTTTTAAAAAATGTTGTCCTGAAGTTATTTTCCATTTTATTATTTTTTCTCCAAAATAAATTTTTTCAGAAAATTTTGAAATTTCTCGTTTGCACTTCCACTAGCTGAGTAAAGGGTATCCGATAATCGGTGAACTCGATTCTCTTGTTTCAATTTTTTTTTTAATGCGTTTAAAAATTTTAACAATATAATTCTATTAAATATTTTTATTAATTTAAAAAAATTATAAAATTATAATATAAAAACTGATGCTTTCTTAGCGGTATTTTTCATTACTAATGGAATTAGGAGATTCGGAATCATCTCAACAAAAAATTAGATTTGGTTGTTTCTGGGAGGTTTTCGATTTTATTGTTGTCGTTGGCAATCGGATTCTGCATCGATTTAATTTTTGAAATAAAAATGTAATTTCTTAAAACGTGAATTGACACCTAAACAATACGTTTAAAATAAAAAAATTTTAAAAATTTTGACGATTAAAAGGAGACACCTTAAGGGGTGACTTGCACACTTCCTTAATTTGTGCCTTTTATGTCACCCTTTTTGTAATAGTTTGTAATAGTTGGCTAGTATTATTTAGAGTATTTTGTAGCGCGGCACAACCGTCCTTATTAAACCCTGGGTTGTCCACAATTGAAAACGGTTGAACCTCTTTAGTAATTATATATACTAGTGCTTCGTTTATTTTTTGGGTTTTTGGCCCTCACTGTTTGGCGTACATGTTGCACTTGACAACTTTGGTATACACGCTGAAGAATTTCCTGCAAAAGCTGGTCATTGTAGTTAGTATGGAATAAATAGATTTTTTAATTGCAATACGTGAAATTATGTACATATATGTATGTATGTTATATACTTACCGTTGGCATGGCAATGTAATGTCGTCACATTAACACCAAACACAAATACAAAATGTTTTAATATTAACCGACCGATGTTTTAGCAAACCGATGCATCGTTAATACCGGTATAATCAAAAATGCGATTCTCGATGCATCAGTGTAAATGTATAGTACTGGCTCAAATTATTGTTCAAAAGCGAGAGAGAGAGAGCAGGCCCCTCTCTTGTACGCGTACAGCGTCAGTCGACCACTGTATGTGTGCACACGTATGCCGATGTACATATGTATTGTAATTTTAAAAATAAAATAAGACCTTCACTTTACAGGTTCTAACACTTTACATAAATCTATAAACTCTATTTTGTATTGTCAAATGAAGTTAATTATTGACACACAAATTATACGAATACAGCATAATTATACATATTAAATTTCGTAAATTACTTAATACTAGAATAAATATCGCTAGAGTATTCAGCTTGCGACGTGGAAAATATATTTGAAGGCAGTAATTCTCAGCTGTTTATATACGCACGTCAACTTTAAGAAATAAATTTTGAAATAAACAGGTTTCAAATTTGCATTTATTTTATAAATAGTAATTTTTAATAATCAATAGTTTAAGAAATACAAATTATTACATTTTTTTACAATTTATTTATTACCAAAATAATTTGTTTGTGTCCATGAAGTTTTTAAAATATTTAGTATATTTATTACAAATTAATAGTATACAAGTAAAACGAGAGAGAATGCTATAGTCGTGTTCCCCGACTATCAGATTCCCGTTACACAGCTTGTGGAAGCTTTTCTAGAATATCGGCAGGAGTGAAAGAAAAAATAATAAAATGAAAAAAGAATTTTAAATTTTCCAAAAGTTTGGTCGTGGTATTTTTTTGGCAAAATTGGTATAAATTTACAAGACTAATAAAAAAGCAACAAAATGTTTAAACATATTTCAAAAGTGTGGGCGTGTCAGTTTTGGAAGGTTTGTGGGCGTAGCAACATCATTTAACAAGCTTGCTCTGCGTCTGTGTCTGGAGTCTTGATGCCTAAGTTCAACTAAATAGTTTATGAGAAATCGATGTTCATACGAACGGACATACAGACTGCCAGACGGACATGGCCAGATCGACTCGGCTATTGATCCTGATCAATAATATATATACTTGTTATAGTCGAAAACGCTTCCTTCTGCCTGTTACATAGTTTTCAACGAATGTAGTATACCCTTTTACTCTACGTGTAACGGATATAATTATCCTTCAGAAAATACTTAAAATATCGTCTGCTGAATATCGCTCACTGCGCAAAAAACAAGCGGTTCGAATAGTGGTTGGGGCTCATATGTGATAATTTCGACCTTTTAAACAGTTTTTTTTTTGAGGTAGGGCTTGGCCTCGATATCTATTTTTCTTTGTGTAATTTTACCCGTATATAATTCGAGTTTTCACCAAAAAAAAAAAACTGAGTAGTTTAAATAAAAAATTAGATATTAAAAATGATTATTATTTTATTAGGTTTGTTGTTTGACTACCAAAACAGTTTTTTTTATCCTTCACAAAATGCTCAAATGCCTACAATTGTAGCCTACAATATATTGTGCCCCCATTAAAAAAATGTATCGCTATTTTTTGATTTGAATAAAAAAAACATACATAAAACAAACGAGCATTAACTTTTTATATATTTTTATTATAAATTACTGAGCATAATGGAATTTTATATGGTATGATTAGCGGCTAGAAGGAATTATTGCTGTACTGACAGTTTTTGTCTAAGTCCACTACCTAAACAACTGGTTTTGGGGTTACAATTTAATATCTGGCCCTGGACGGACAACACTTTGGCTGGCTGCAGAATTTTGCCGCTAGCAATACCAATGCCGTGGCAATGCCCGCCAGTTGGATTTTTAAATTGGATCGGGAACAAGGCCAGTGAGAATTCCGAGAACAAGGAGAGGAGTACAGGGTGGGGTTGGTGATAACATTCGACCCCAAGCCAATGCCAATGGATAACATAGATCTCCCTTTCTGTGTTCGTCGTCATCTCGATATACATATGTATGTATGTACATACATGGTTACAGTATTAGCATTGGCGACTATATGCATACATATGTATACAATGATTAATAGAAATTTATAATTTCTGATGACTTTAAAATAATAATTAGTGCCAAGGCAGGTAAATACATTATTATCGATTAAACAGTTTGTTTTGAAAGATTGGTTTCTTTGTCATGGCTATATATGGAGCAAAACATATGTTTTTGGAAACAATAAACAGATGACGAAATGCAATAGCTCGAGTTACCTTAATGTAAGCATCTATGTATTTTGCTTATCTACTCTTTTTAGATATCGATAGAAAACTAGTGTAAATCTTTGGTATTTGGTATTTTTGAATAACTGCAGAGTACCCGACTAGAAACTGCATGAAATAATAAGCCACACTGTAGGCAGTCAAAAGCTGCCTGCTCGTAACCAAACCAGAAACAACTTGTTGCTCCACGCACACGCATTTCGTCGACTCTCACGTCAGCAGTTTAAAAGAACTATCGCAAAAACTATCAGAGATTAAGATGCGCCAGCTGAAGGGAAAGGTGAAGGAGACGCGCAAGCAGAAGAAGGAGCGCAAACTGGACAACCTGGAGAGCCAGGCCAAAATCCGCACCGTGGTGCTGCCGGCGCTCGGAGTTTTGGCGGTCTTCCTGGTGCTGTTCGTCTATCTGAAGACCCGCCCTGCGGTCTTCGCCTAATGTAGTCATAAAGATGTATTTCATAGTCGCGGGCAGTGCAATTGAATCGTTGTAAGGGCACATAGCTTTTATAGTACAATAAAATCAGAGTTCGTCCATCCAAAGAGTCTACTTTATTAGGGGAATCTTCCATGACACGAACAACACTCTGCTGACAACTGCAGTTCTTGGGAATTTGGGAATTGGGGACTAACTGTATTCGACCTGCGGGCGTTGGCAGTGTTGAAAACCGCCTGCAGCTTTGGCGGCTAAATCAAAAAGGGGAATCGGTAAAAACCCTAACAGAGCCACTTCAATATGTAAATGGGTACATATACCAGAGAAGGCAGTGCCATCCACGAACACGTTTTATTTTTGGCCGTTTAGCGTTTAGCTTTTAATCGCGTTGCCCTTGCTTCAGTTTCACTTACACCTGTCCACCGAGAAACTCGCCGTCGGTGTCCGCAAAATAATAATTGTTCATACATACAAACATATGTACACATCACTGAAGTGAAAGTTCAGTGCTCGAAAGGGAGTGCTGAAAAGGGACTGCAACGTTATCAGAGTCGCCAAACACGATTACCTAACCACCACACACAGAAATCGCAGTGGGCCAGTCAGCTGCTGTCGTTTGACGTTTCTTTTTCTCGTTCTCACTCTCGCTAAGACTCTCACGCTGGCGGCTGCGGGTGACAAGGGCTCCTTCAACTTTTCGACAATGCTCAAGTTTCTGGTAAGTTTTCCGGTTTCCCGGCTTCCTGGTGTTTTCAAGCTTCTGTTTCACAAGTATGAAATACTGCACACCTCAAAGTATCTGAAGGTATGCAGAACATAGACGAGATACAAATTTTGCTGTTGTGTTTTTGTGGTTGCGCTGCTTTTTGCGTCGATGACGCTCTTCTGCACAGTGGGACAATGTGAATCAAAATGAAAACAAATTATTTGATTAAATAAATGCAAAAATAAAATATATTTGAAAGTGTTTAAAAGTATCGTCCCAATGTCTTACAGGCTTAAGAAGATTTTAAGCACTATCAATATTTGAAAATATTCTTGCTCAGACAAAGCAAAATTGGATTGGTAATATGGTAGAAAGTGCACCAAAACACCAGTCAAATAGATTCAAAAATTTGCTGAATTTCGAATTATCAACCCCTTTATTTGAGTTTGCTTACCAGTGTGCGCTGGTTGGATACATAATTGACTTGTGGCTCAAGGTTATATAAGGCCTCCCAAACTCATATATCCACAAAAATCAAATAATCAACTCCTCCTTGGAAATCATGTCGAGTCCGACCACTCAAGCCAGGAGTAAACAGATCCGGACTCTTCGAAAATAAACACAAGCCTCACCAAATTGATCGTTTATATCGACCTGAAGTTAAAATGAAACTGCTGGGACTTGGGGCGCAGGTTTTGAGGCTCAAAACTGGCACGCAGAGTCGCTCTGCGAAAACTTGCCCCCCGGAAATTCGCGAGCCCTTGCCGTGCTGTCGCAAAAAACGCTTTTGGACTTTTAAACGAGTGCTATGTTTTTCCACGGTTAGCATGCGAAGTCCGCATCTCCAAGAAGATTTACACCTCGGAACACCTGAATTTATTCACGACGCACTCTAATAATCCTCCTTTCCCTATTTCAGTTAACCTTTGGCGCCGGGGTTTATACGGGTATCTATGTCTCACAGAACTATGAGGTAAGCATCCTGGCCCGAATTTGATGTTTCTTATAATTCGGTCGTTTTTTAGGTCCCCCGAGTGGATGATCCCCAGAAACTGATCCAGCGTTTCAACGAGAAACTCAAGGAACTAGTGGATCAAACCAAGAACAAGTAACAGCCTTGGTAGTTTTGTGCAAGGATTACGTTACCGTCACTAAATTCAAATAAGTCATAGAGAGACCTTTGTAACTTAAATTGTATAAAAATCTGAAGCTAAATCTTGTCATCTTAACCTGAAATTTTTTGCGCAAAAATTATGAAAAAAAGCGGGTGCAGTTGTCATCAGTGGTGGTTTTTAATTGTTGTACGCCGTATTCATCCAAACAATTTATTTCCACTGCGATTGAATGATGGCTTTTCTAGCTAACTATCAAAACTCGTTGCCAGGAGCTTAAATAGAATTAAAGACCCCGACTTTGCAGTTCTTTCGGTATATAAAATATTTTAATATTTCCTTTAACAGATCGGCCGGCGAGAAACTAGTGGATGACATCAAAAAGGAGGCCAAGAAGATACTAGACGACTGACTGGCGAAATAAGTCCATATTTTTAGTTTAAACAAATTTATCTATGATCAAATAAAGAGAAGATATACGTGTAAAACTAGACAAACGAAACTCCTCCGCCGTAGTACTCCAAGCGAGTCTGAGGTTGGACAAAAGCCAACCAATCGGAGGCGTGGGTGGGTAGTAGACCCATGCTGTGGCACTTGTAGAGGGCCAAGGCCACGTTTGCTAGGTTGCCCAGGAAGTAGACGATGCGCTGGCCAGTTCCCTGGGCTCCCTCCGCCATTTTGGAAGTCACCTGAGTGGTGAAGATGGCCTTGATAGGCCGGATTAGCATCATGCCGACCATCATGATGGGAAAAATGGATATCGAGTTTCCGGACATGTACATGATGAAGAGGTTCATGGGAATCTAAGTGAATCCAAAGGTTATCCGTAGGTCTTTACAAGCGACTGTTACTCACGTTTTTAAGAGGTCCCAGAGCAAGGTCCCAGGACTTCTTGATGACCAGACGCTGGTCGCGCACCACCTCGCTCTGGTTCACCAGGGCAGATGGATTGTAGCCCAGCGGCGAAGGAATATCCGCGTTTTTGCTGCAGAAAAAAGCAAATGAGGTAAAAACTTGAGGTAAGAACTTGCTAGCAATCCTTACCTCCCGGTAAAGTCCAGCGCCCACTTGAACTTCTTGGAATTTTGTTTGGCCGACATGCTGTGCTTTCCTTTTATTTAATCTTTTGCTAATTTACAAAATGAAATGACTTTTTCCGATAATTGGTCGCTTAGTGTTGTTCAACGTTAAATTCCGAAATTCGAGCACTGCTGGACAGTTCGATAGGAAACTATTGTGAATGGCACCAGGGTATCGATAGACAAATACGATTTTGCGCGGTCTTTTTAAAACGCATTTGCAAAAATTTTAAGCAGAGCAGAAGTTTTCATTAATATTTAAATTTTATTTCAAATTACCTTTTAAGTAGTACTTTCCTTTTTAATATGGTCTTATGTATATGCGTAAGTTTTAATGGATTTTGCGTGGCCAAGCGACAACAAGAAACAGAAGGGTTAAAAATTAAAATGGTATTTGTTGTATTTTAAAGAGCAATTACAATTACAGTTTTTTTCTCATTAATATTACTTTTATATTTATAAAATTAAAAAGAAATATATATTTTGATGAGGGGGAGGGAGAGGACAAAAATAACTTAAAAAAGACATTTTTATACCATATACTATAGTTTCCTTTCTCGTGTGATTGGTTGGGCTTTTCTTTTACTCGTTTTAAACATCCAATAATTATGTATACGAATTTAAATTAAATTATAGCGTTTTTTATATGCTGCTTGAAAAGTTATGTTTCTGCAATTCAATAAACAATTTCAGTTTCTTGTTTGGAAATACGGACATAAGGAGCCCTTTAAGTTATGCGAAGATTTGCTGCTCTTGTTGTTGGTGTTGGTGCCGCTGCTGTTTTGTGATAACTCCTTCTGATGTCGATTTCCACCGTTTACCGCTGGGTGTTCTTCAGCCACTCTTTCTGTGGTTTTGGATGCTGGTTAGATGCTTCGGCTTGCTTGAAATCAGAGTTAGTTGTATTCATATTGTTGCTTTAGTTTTAGTGTTTAATTAGCGATTAGCGTTCTTCAATTGGTTGGACAGCCAGTCGAGTCCCTCGTAAAGCCCATCGCCGCTAGTTGCACACGTCGCCTGGATGTACCAGTTGCGGTTTCTGAGTGAGTGCAAGCCGAGCTTGTCGGTGATTTCGGCCGCATTCATTGCATTTGGCAGATCCTAAAATGATCCCAGAAAAGAGAGAGGTGCAATATTAGTATAGCATTATAAGGGCCAAGCAACTGGCAAAAGAATCCAACTCTGATAACGACATCCCTTGGACCTACCTGTTTGTTTGCGAAGATTAGTAAGACTGCATCCCTCAGCTCGTCCTCTGCCAGCATGCGCATCAACTCTTCTCTCGCCTCCCCGATACGCTCTCGGTCATTACTGTCCACGACGAAGATAAGACCCTGAAACAATTCAGATGAAAACTTTACTTCTATTGTCCTGGCTTGAATCGTAGACCTTAGATATCTAAGGTAATAGAGTCAGTCCCGTCTTGAAACAAAATAAACTTTGAATAATCACAGTGGATAATCATTACAAGTTATTAACATCATGTAGAATTGCCTGGAATCAGGGGAATAGCTGAAATCACTCTTACTTGTGTATTCTGGAAGTAGTGCCTCCACAGGGGACGAATTTTGTCTTGGCCGCCCACATCCCACACTGTAAAGCTAATATTCTTGTATTCTACAGTCTCCACATTGAAACCTAGGGGGAGAACCATAAGATGTTTGATATGGGAAAGAGACATTAGAGGGACTGAGATACTTACCAATGGTAGGTATCGTTGTAACAATTTCGCCTAATTTGAGTTTGTACAGAATTGTGGTTTTACCAGCGGCATCCAAACCGACCATCAATATCCTCATTTCCTTTTTGCCGAATAGGCCTTTGAACAAGTTCGCGAATACGTTTCCCATGGCTGCTGTTTGTCTTTCGGATGCTCAGTAGTCTTAGGAAGTTGGATCTCAGGTTGGTCTGCTCGCTGTCTGCTGGCTGGAATTATGACAAGTTCAAATCCGAGTTGCAATACCGATCAGAATATGCAAACTGCGGACTTGTGTGCATGGACTGGGAGAATCTGTAAAGAGTTTAAAAATGTACAGATGTAGAAGGTCATTTTTCGTGGCAGGGTGTTCTGACTAGCCTAGAAGACTGAAACTAACTTGTTTGGCTCACTTTTGTGATGATGTTAGCCACTCTGAGTCATAACAAAAACCGGAAGAGCCTAATTGCTAACGAAATTTGTTTTCGTTTATTGTAATGAAGACGTTTTCAATGTGTCAGTGTGCGAAAATCAGTTAATTTCTTTATGTAATTAATTGCACACTTATTAATAACGCCAAAGGGAGCATGTATAAAACACAAGTCGCTTGCTTTTAGTGTGTGCCCCGCTAGCGGCTGCTGATAAGATATCGATTTTCAGTGTAGAACGATGACGGCTCTGTCGGCGCTCGGCGCCGCCCACCCAACTTCCTCCGCCCACTTTACTCCTAGTATGCAAGATACTTGCGGGCTGAAAAGTGCGTGAATGATAAGGCCAGAGGTGAAGTATCTTGCAGTTTTCGGCGAACTTGCTGGGCGGAGGGAAAGCTTGCCGAAATCTACAATGAGTCACCGCTGCCGCTGAGCTCTGCAATCGAGCAGGCCGCAGCCGATGGCTACGCAATTCACGTTTAAATTGAGGAATCCATAAGTAAGCCCGTTTCGCCCAAACAGAAAAGGGCTAAGCGTTGCTAGCGAAACATACGGAAACCTTTCGTTTGACAGCACCCCAAAATACAATACCCAAAAAACCATTTATATAGAACCGAACAATCCAAAGACTTCTGCAGCCTTCCGGTAGTGCGCAAAGATAGGTGCTCTACGTTACTGAGAAGAGGCTGATGCCAGCTGACGATAGTTGGCTTGGCAGCAGCCGAAATCGAAAACTACACGTAGCAGCTTTTAATTTGGAGCGGAGGGAAGCGGGGCAGCAGCCCACCATCGCACACTCACGCACACACCCGCAGGGGCCAGGGTTGCCAACTGCGTTGAGCCGCCCTGCCTTTGCTGCCTTTAATTCCAGCTTAAAAGGAAGCCGCCGACGTCACTGTTCGAAGATGAGTGTTTCATCAGCCCAAGACTCATGTCCAGACATTTCGCGACTAAGCCCACTTTTAATTGGGTTTGGATCGGGATCGGACAACTTTGAACTTTATACGTGGTCGCCTGCGTCTGTGTGAGTGACGTACGCTTTTTTCTTCTGGGTTGGTGAAATGAGGCGGCCGCCGTCCCTTGCTTTTTAAAGAACCGTCCGAAGTTACTCGGCCTTCATTTTACTGAGATTCTTTTTGTTCAAAAACACTTTACACGTCCATTTACCGTTTAATCTGCCGTTTTTCGTGGACTTTTCTTTGATTGAATTTTCTCTGCTGCCAAACACACCACACACCGAATTGCGAATAGAAAGATAATGGGGAGAATGTATCGATAGCGCTACCGATAGTCGATGAGCACAAGTCACTGTTCTCTGTTAAGCAGAGTTGGCAAATTTTTGCGAATTATATAATTTGACCATGTTATTTTATTCCAGACGGCGTTGGTGATCAAAAGAGATCGTTCTTGTGTCCTCATACGAAAATGCCATAAACAAAGCACCGACGATAAATTCGGGCGGCTTCCAATACTAATATTTCCACTACTCACCACAGCCGCGTACGCTGCGTGAGTGTGTGGATAGCCTACACTAAACACACACACACCAACATTTTCTACATTACTGCGGATGTTCTTAAAATCAAGAAAAAGTACCTCCGCCCTCACATACCACCCCTTATTTAGACTGAAAACACATACGCACCAACTACTTGAATCAAATGCACACGGGTAGGAGCGGAAATTTTAAAAACTTCTGCTTGGAAATGTCTTAAATCACAGAGCAAAATAAAACTCGACCGAGAATACACTTGCTGTTGAAAAAACTGCAAACTCACCAAATAAACGTTGCCGATAGAGATGTGCGCAGCGCAGGGCCTGTCGGCCCATGAGCTAGAATGGGATGGCAATATTGCGCAACATTGTCCCGTGGTGAAAACTAGGGAAATGCTGCCACGTCTCTTCTCCGCCACCTCGGCCAGAGTTGCCAACGATTAGGATTAATCGATTCATCATTGCCGCACTATGAAGAATCGAAACAGTTTACTATCCAGGTGATTTGAACTAAGTTAATGTACGATCTATTTATATGTTTTACCCTAAAACACCATTTTTGGGAAATCCGCTGCTGGAAGCCGATATCCTTAAAGTGAATGTATGTACTTTCCATAAGCGTAAATCCGTATTTGTAAGGAAATTTGGCTTTCAAATTTTATTAACTGTTGATTCCTGGTTTTGTCAAGTCGGCTGCACTTGCTCCGCTGCTGGAATGGCTGTGCCTCACTCCTAAAGTCACCACGTACAGGGTGAACACTCTTCGGTGTTCCGTTGACGCCTTCCGGAAAAAAGTAGAAGAAAAACTCGCCGCTCGCTATGGTATAAAATCTCCAAGGGTTTACTGCTTGCCAAACCTACCCGAGATGTTGTGCATTGATCCGCTAGAGTCACAGCTTACCAAAGCCCATGCCGACTCCGAGCTCAAGGAGATAATGGTGGACACTAACTGCGGAGCAGCACTACTGCGAGGTGCCCACATATATGCCCCCGGTGTTCTGGCTATGGAGTCTTGCACCGAGGGAGAACTCGTCAATGTCTATGCAGATCTGGATGGAAAATGTAAGCGCGGGGCAGTCAAGCGATACGAAAGCCCGAATAAGGTTTTCCTGGGTACGGGCAAGGTGTTAATGCAGCGGTATCAGCTGTTCAACAACGCGGACAAGCCCGCCTCTGGAGTGGCCGTGGAAATGCAGTCCAACGTCAGCGGAGTGCCCTCGCTGGGGGATCTAAGCTGCGAAGACGGCCTGTTGCAGAACCTGCCTTCTATTGTGTGCGTCCGCGTCCTAGATCCGCAGCCCGGCGAGCGGATACTGGACATGTGTGCTGCTCCGGGTAACAAAACGAGCCACATAGCCGAGTTGATGGGTGATTGGGGATCTGTGGTGGCCCTAGACAATTCGGCAAGTCGCGTCCGCAGCATGCTGCCCAAATTGGGGAACTACAAGAGCATTAAGACGCATGTTTTTGACTCCACCAAGGCAGTGGCACCGGACGCTCCTTCTGCACCTATTGGAGAATTCACTGGCCCTCCGTTTCCATGTGCAAGCTTTGACCGAATCTTGCTCGATGCGCCCTGCAGTGGTCTTGGCAACCGGCCACAGTTGTCCTGCAGCATTAAACAGGCCAAGATCTTGTCGTCATATCCCAATATTCAGCGCCGGCTATTTGAACAGGCAGTGCAGCTCCTTCGTCCTGGCGGCATCCTCGTGTATAGCACGTGCACCGTTACAGAGGATGAGTGCGAATGTCTTGTAGCCTGGGCGCTGGAAAAATTTTCCGAGCTACACCTAACAGATGCCACTCCCCGCTGGGGTGGTTCCGGACTTCCGCTTCCCGGTTTCGAGAAATGTAAATCCCGTCTGTTGCAACGCTTCGGGCCGAACGGAGCAAGTGCAGACACCGTGGGCTTTTTTATTGCCAAGTTTCAGAAAAAGTTATAAATAAATTAAACTTCACTGAAATTCTGTTGTTTATTGGGCTCGATAATTTAAATATTCGTTTTGATTTGCAAAAGTAAGCCGGCTTATGAGTGATATAAGTGAGACCTAGGCTAGTGTTATTGATCAAGAAAATTTCAACCCTACGCTTAAAAAATCAATTGAAAATGCAGTCTGATAACATTATAGGTTTTGATTTCCCATAGCTGCTAATGAAATCTTTATGGAGAAACATTATGTTATCCATTTGCTTTCTAGTTTAAAAGTTCTTAAATAATTTACAATTCATATCTATTGTAATTTAGCTTACATCTAAGTCCGTAATTGTTAACGATTTATGTTAAAAGCAAATTTATGCATTTTGGGAACCATTAAAACTTTCTACCACAAAGATTTACTTAATGATTTTACGAGTTGTAAATTAAGAGCAAGTCCATAATTTGACCAATCGTTGATGAGGCATGTTTTGTTTGTGCTTGAGGAAATCAAGACTACAATTTCAAATTAAGAGAACAACCATAAATGCTGTTAACGCTGGCGGAATCTCTCACCTTGGCTGCAGTCATTAATATCGTAAAACTGCTTGCCTCCCACTATAAAATAATGTTTTAAATAAGGTATTCGCATATTTTATTTCATCTTTCTCTTCCTTTTGTTTCCCTGGCGCATTATTATGTTTCGCTAGAGGTTCAGCGTTCTGGTTCCCGGTATGCTATTGACAAAATAATATTTACTACCAGCAAACACGACCCTCAGTCATTGGTGGTGCATACTCATGGCCAAACAGAAAGCGGAGATGGAAAGAACCTATCAACGTCAGGTTCTTTCAATATTATCGGCTTATAAACTAAGCCTAATTCTATGTACTGATTCTATTAACATAATTTTACGTTGGGATGTTGAGCGTCTTAAACTGATCTTCGTGCATCTCAGTCATCATGAAGGTGCCATCCTGTAGCAACAAAACAACGCGACGTGTACCTCCTGAAACAGATATTAAAAAGAACACGTAGTTACACATTCAGTTTTTGAAAAATAATCCTCTAATATTAATAATAATAATATAATAATATCTAACTAATATAAATATTGAATTCCGGCCATCTGTTTATAAGACAGATTTATTATCAAAACTGTTGGACCGTTAAGTTTTTATTGATTTAAATCTATACCTTATCATATCGAATTATATGTGGTTTTGCAAGAAGAAAACAAGGGACAGTTTGTGGACATTTGATTAGGCTTCTGAAACAAACTAGCACTGCCTCGTCGTCTCTAGAAACTGCATACTTAATTTTAACATTCTAGACTTTATAATTACTCACGTTAAGACGGACAGACGGACATGCCTAGATTACTTGCCATAGTCATCGTGTCCACAAATAGATATATATATTTCTAGGATCCACACTTTAAAAAGAACCAAAAGCTACCGTCTGTTACATACTCGTTCCTGTTACTAGTATGCCCTTTTACTTTACGATTAACAGGAATAAAAACCAACAGCAGAAGCTGCCTTTGTCAAACCCCACAATTTTATAATTTTTAATAATTAACGTAAAAACACTACATACCCGGTGAAGGCAGATCAGCTTGTACCACCTCGGCTGGTATCTGGGATTCCGTGCCATCGCTGTCCGAGGTCGTGATATGGATCTGAGCTGTGGGTGGTGTTCCGGTTCCGGCGGCAGAAGCCTCCGCCTGCTGAAGCACCTGGTGTTGCGCTAACTCCTCCTCTGTCATGGATACGAGAATCTGTTCACCGTCCGCCGTAGCTGCTGCGACACCGTGAGACTCAACGTGCTCCCCGGCCTGAACGGCCTCGGCCACTGCGTGGTCAAGAGAAAGAACATCCTGGTCTTCTCCCTCTGCGGCCGCCACGTACGCAAATTGCTGTTCTCCATCCGGGCCCTGGGTAACGAGAATCGTTTGTCCTTCCGCATTTTTTCCCGCTACCTGGTAAACAGTGCCGTCCTCTCCCCGCACCAGCAGAGCCGAGCCGTCCTCGTTGGTAAGAACTTGTTGATCGCTGCCCAAAAGGGCCTGCGCCGCGGCCTCCAACTGCTCGCGTTGCTGCTCCTGCTGTTGCTCCTGCTCCATTTGCAGCTGGGTCTCCTCCTGACCAATAAGCTTGCCGGTGATTGGACACAACTGAGCTTGGTGCTGAGGAACCTCCTCCTCCAGTTCCATTTGCAATGGCGATGGCTGGATGGCTGGCTTGGGCGCTATTCTTTGCCGGCTTGGAGTCCCTTTCTGCATTTGACTGGTCTGCTGCTGCGACAGAGCTTGTCGCTGGCGTGCCTGGGCAGAGCGCTGAGCCAGCAACTCTTCCCGGGTCACTACTTTACGCGTAACTTTCAAGTCCCCTGACTTAGACAGCTGTAAAATCTTTTGCTCTGGCGTGACTGCTTTGGCACCCTGATGTGTTTGTACTTGTTGACGATGTTGCGGAGTTCCGACACCAGCGCGCGCAAGAACTCGACCACCCGGGTGAGCCCGGCCCGGCGCCTGCTGCAAGTTTTGGCGCACATGGGATGTACCACCCACCCCAGGACGACGGTGAACTGCTGCTGTTGCTGGGCCCTGGCCGGGGGTGCGAAGCACCTGTTGTCGCTGGCCCACAGTGATGGGCGAGTTAGCGCCCGAATGAGCAGGTCTAGCCATTGGCATGCGCTTGACCATGCCTGCGGCGGGCGGCGCGGGGTTCACCTTTTGCGGCGCGGGTGCAGGCGAAACTGGTGCCGGCGCCTCAGAACTTTCAACCCGAAATACGCCTCTTGTGCTGCTGCCCACCTCGGAGCGCGAAAGATACCGCACGGGACACTCTGGTTTCTCCTTTTTCTGCAAGAAATTAAGATCATTTTTAATAATTGACTGTTGCGCAAAAACAGCATTCTTTGTTAATACCAAATTTATGGTGTTTGGCATCTCGGGCTTGCGAAACATGCCGGAGCTCGTGCTGTCCTCAGTATAGATGATTTCACCCATTCTTTGCTCCGTTACGGAAACGGGCACGGTGGAGTTGCCATTAATTTTAGTCTGCTGCTTTTCCGTGGGCTGAATCCGTGGCTTGTTCAGCTGCACGGAGCTTCCTCCGTTTTTTAGACGCTTCACGGTGTGGGACGGAAGATCCTCTTCAAGGTCCTCTAGGTCCATCGAGTCATTTAGCCCGCTCCCCTCTAAGCTTGAGTCTGTATGGTTTAGCTTTCGCTTGATCGCTCCTGAAGACGGTGGCCATTCTTGTTCCGTGGCTGATTCATCTTCGTTTGCCGAGGAGGGCGAGGAGGATCCATCCCCACCGCCTGTTTCATTGACCCACTGCTTAAAGGAATCCATGGCCTTGGTTTTGGAAGTGCGCGAGGGCCGAGAAGACGGCGATACTTGTGACGACGCCGGAAGTGGGCTGAGTGGCGTGGCACTATCTGCCTTTGCGTTTGTCCCTGCTGACTGCATGCGCTTCAGAGTATCCAGTCCCTTCTCCCTAGAAAGTTTCTGCCGCGCTAATTGCTTTTCGAACATCTGTAGAAAGTAGGGCACACGCTCGAGATTTGCCATCACCTCCCAGGTGTTTTCATGGTGCGAGCGATCAACCCACTTAACCAAATACTCGTGGGTCTTACGGCGCGGATTAAAGCGCTTAGCGACTATCTTCTCCACTGGCTCTTCGGTGCGCTGCTCCGTCTTGGAATCGATCCTAATGGCTATGCGGTTGTTGGGCTTCGCGGCTCCGCCAGAGGCAACTGAGGGAAGCGTGGGTGTGCCCGGCTTGGACTTGGGCCTTTCATTTTCCGTATCCTTTAGTTGATTGGCTAACGTGGGCAGCTTACCGGCTGGGGATTCTGTCAATTTGAATAAAGTTTAATATAAACATGTAACATTTTTTTGAATTATGTTTTATTACTTCTGGTAGGGGAGACGCTCGTGTTGTTGTTGTTGCTGTTTGATGTGTTGTTATTGTTTGGATTGACCACAGTCTTTGTGATCCGCACGGGCATGTCTTGGAGTTGCCCGTGTGCAATTTTGCCGAAAGACTGTATGGTCTTACCGGCCACAATCCACGGCTCGCGCACGCTATCCTCCAGTTTTACCCAATGCTGGTACAAGGCCCAGGAGTTGCCGGACGCGTCCTTGCGTGTGTGCAACTGAGTAGCCTTCCATAGCGTGAATGCCCAGATGGTGGGCTTGGTGTCGAGCGACTCCTTCAGATTTGCGTTTTCCTTCTCGCAGGCATCCTCTTTGTGGGCCTGAAACTCTTCCACGAAGTTGTAGGCCCGGAGACAGCGTCCACACACAAGAACATCCATGTTTGCCAATTCTTCCTGGGCAGCTGCAGGACAAAACACAAAATTGACAATAAAAAGAATTCGCAAATGTTTGTAGGCACTCACCTCTGATAATGTTTGCGTGTTTGCCGATTTCTGTGGGTGCAATCTCCTGTGCCAACATTATTCACGACCCCAGCGCCCAAGCCTGTGCAGAGAGCATTAAAGTGTGACTTTTAAGGATTGCTAAATGGAGTTTGTTATTGCTTGGTTTTCAAATATAGGTAAACGGCGAAGAAAAAGTACAGTGCCGTGGTGTGTTTGCGCTAAGTTGAACCAGGTGGCAACACGAATGGTCGCTGTCTGCGGTGTGTGCTCGATATGGTGAGTTCAAGCATATGTACATCTGCAATGCCCAAAATGCAGCGCCGCTAAGCCGAAAAAAAAAACATTAAGTACTACATTATAAAAAGAACGAGCTGCCGCACTGTTGTAGTATAAACTATAAGAAAACACAAAAAAACATAATCTATGCGTAAGGCGTCTTTATTTGTTAAACTTAAACTTATTTGTTAGAAATGCATTTGTAGCCCAACACAACTCAATTAAGATAAATAAAACACTATGGCTCAATTTGATTTGTTTTCATAAAATCATAAAAAAAAGTATTACTAATCGTTATCCTACTTCAACATTTCATGTTGCCCGCTAAAACTTTGCAGCTATTAGATACGTGGGCGGTTTGCAAATAAGCCTATCCCACATATGTACATTTGATCCAACTTTTTAAAACATTTCTATAGCACACTTTAGTACACACCTTCATAAACAATTTTGGATAAATATCAAACTTTGAACGGTTATTTTAATTTAACTGACTCCCGATTTTTCAACACGAGCAGCTCTGCTGCTGCTCACAATTGTACGCGCGATCTCTGAATGCCAAACGCGAAATTAGTTTGGCTACACGGAAAGTGAGCAGTGATGATTTGGTTCCAGCTATGCAGACCTTTGAATGCGCTCTGTGCTAAAGATCATAAAATTTTCTATAACTGGGAGTGCATGGCTGTTGATAGATTTAAACGAATTGCAGTTCAGTAAATTTAATGATTGCAAAGAATTTTTCGAATATTTTTTATATTAATACACCGGCTTCAATGCTTAAGCGATATTAAATGCCCAAGCCTCTGGTGTAGCGCTCTTTTCAGTTCGCCCGCGTGGCGGTGCACTTAGTTAGCCAATCACGCGGCGTGGTGGGAATATTTATCGATGTGGCAACCTTAGACGCTATGCAATTATAATATTATTATAATATTAATCATTTTTTAATATTAGATACGAAACACAAAATTATTATTATTGCCTCGCGTTGATTGTATATATTTATAATATAAATTTTATGGCTCTTACCCAATGTGGCAACCCAGTGCATTGTATTTATCGTAGGCCCAGTGTGTGTACACACTGTTTCATTAGCCGGCGCATTTTATTGAGCGTTGATTGCCTTTCTTGCTTTAACTTGGTAGTAAGTGCATCAGGACAGCAAGGATGGCCGACGATGAGCAAGAAGACCAGAAGGAGTACCGCTGGGAAACGGGCTATGAAAAGACATGGTGCGATTGTGTGCGTGACAATGTAAGCCCGCACTTACTTTTAATCTTATTAGGGAGGCCATCAAGGACGACGAGGATGGAATGCTGGATGGAGCCATCGCAGAGATCATTCAGAAGGCCAAACGCCAGAGGCAGGCTCAAAAGACCAAGCAGAACCGACTGGGCATGATGCGCCACATGTTCCTCGTGCTAGACTGTTCTGAGTCTATGAGCGTGCCTGATCTAAAGCCTACACGACTGCGCTGCACCGTCAAGCTGCTGGAGCTGTTTATCGAGGAGTTCTTCGACCAGAACCCCATCAGCCAATTGGGAATCATAGCGCTAAAGGCTAAGCGAGCGGAGAAGGTGACCGAACTTACCGGCACTTCGCGTGTGCACCTTAAAGCGCTGGAGAGGTACGTTCCAAATTAAATCAGCGTTCTCCACTTATTTTCTTGTCGGTTTAGCCTGGCTAACGTGTCCTTGACCAGCGAGCCTTCGCTTCAAAACGGCCTGGATTTGGCACTAAAATCGCTCAAGGTGGTGCCGTCGCACGCCTCCCGCGAGATCGTCATTATCATGGGCTCGCTCACCACCTGTGATCCTGTCGACATTAACATCACAATCGACGAGTTGAAAAGGGAGGGCATACGCTGCTCGGTTATTTCCCTGTCGGCTGAGATACACGTGGCCCGCTACCTCACCCAGCAAACAATGGGCACCTTCGGGGCTGTTTTGGACGACGCACACTTTCGGGATCAACTCATGTCCCAGGTAGATCCACCGCCCGCCGCCAAGACTCAGCATAACTCGCTTATTCGAATGGGATTCCCGCACACCAAGAACGAAGTTGAGGGCAAGGACGCGCCGTTGTCCATGTGCATGTGCCACATAGAGAACTTGGAGGAGCCCAGTGAACTCACCACTACTGGCCACCACTGCCCGCAGTGTAACAGCAAGTACTGCGAGCTGCCCGTGGAGTGCCAGTCCTGCGGTCTCACCCTGGTCTCCGCGCCGCACTTAGCGCGTTCCTACCACCACCTATTCCCAGTGCCAAACTTTGAGGAACTCCCGTTTGAGGCCATGCCTGCTTCGTCCTCCGACCTCAATAACGGAGTCAGGGAGTGTTACGCCTGCGCCAAAGCTCTCGGGCAAGGCGTCGACAAGGCCGCCGACAAAGTCGTCTTCAGATGCGGTTTCTGCAAACAGTTCTTCTGCGTTGACTGCGACATCTTCATTCACGATACTTTGCACGCCTGCGTGGGATGCAACACCATTCCCGGCGTAGACGGCCTGGTTTATCAGCAAAGTTCGAAACCTGACCAAGTTGATGCCCACCCAGGTCCGTCGAAGCAGCGCGCACAGTTTGGGATGTAACTGACTTCCTATAGATATGTACATATTTCGAACTTCCACAGAAGTACGCATTTAGGGCAAACAAAATACAGTTCAATTCGAAAGGGTGTTCGTGAGTTGTATCAATTAAAATCTGCTTTTATGCTTAATAATTGTGAAGGTGAGCGTGGCATTATTATGGCCGTTGTGTGAAACCCTCTCAATTGGTCGTAGGCTCTCTGTACAGTTTCATGCAAACTTGGGACACTTTTGTCTAGAGCTCGCTTGAGTTCATCGTCAGCGCTTGCCGCATTCGGGCGGTTTTATTTTCGATTCGATCCAAAAGCTCTCGGCATCCACAGGTGTTCTCGTTCGAACTTTAGCTTTATAAATGTTAACCCGCGTTGGTGTTGTGAATTTCGAAGACCCAGCACCTTTGTTCAGAGGGAGACTGATTTGGAGTGGATATACTGCTCTATGACACCATAAACAATTTATGGAGATCAATGACGCTGCTTTAAACCAGTATTAAACCAGTTGAAGCCTAGCTTAACCGCCACAACTGTCCATTAATTTTTAAAGTTAAAAACTTAATTGAAGAGTCATAAACATTCTGAAGGTATACCATTGAAATCCAATTTGTATGTATTTTCTGTTATGCTTGGCATAACTCAGACTTTTTTTCATAAACTTAATGGGTTTTCTATGAAATCGATATGCTTTATGCTTTTTATATGTGGTTTACAATAGCTGCGATGAATATTAAAAATATATAATGAAACATGAAGGTACGCTTTTCAGTTTCTGAAATACATCTGCTAAATTTAGTTTGTAAATAATTAAAGTCGACAGTTCTGTATCCTACAGTAAAAGACAATAGGATAAAAAACAAAAGGGAACGATTTTTTTACAATCCTTTTGATCACTCCCACGCGAGCTATAGATATATTCGTCTGATCCGGACATTTACGATAAGGTTGCGTAGAAATAGACGAACAGGCGGACATGGCTAGATTGGATTCGATTGTGATCAAGAATATCCTTTATATACATTACTATATTGCAACCGTCTAACTTAAATTATAATTCACAGTAAAATAGTATTCCCAGTAATTAAAGAATATCTTATAAGCAGCCACAGACTATGATGTATGACGATTTCGCATCAGCAAGGGTAGCAAATTGGGAACAGCACTTGAGTCTAACATACGCGAGCATTCCAAATATGTTGGTTTCCATAGTTATTAAAATCCGCCTTAGAATTCATTAACTAAGAACTTTACCTTCTGAGACCATGTAAATATATACTTGGGGCCCGTGACAACCTGAATAATTCCGTAAATTAAAGCTGCTTTAGACGCAAATCGTAGCTAAGCAGCCAGGCCGTTTAGTCTGTCTCGTTAATTACTGACTAGCCCAGCATCATGACAGCTCTCATTAATTTACTTGTGTGTATTTGTGCAATATAAAGACGTTTCCGCATCGCACCCCACACAAAAGCGAGAAATCACAATCACTTATCTGGTGATAATTATATGTGAAAGTGGAATGAATCAGATAAAATGTTATTTTATTTACATTTGTGTGTACAGACGATTGGCGTATGGAGATTCGCGGTAATTAAAGTCCGATTGTGTTGGAGTAAAGGCCAAGTTAAAGGAGCAAAGAATTTGTGGCCTGTTCTAGTTTTCTGCCATTGCTGGCAGAATTGCTTCGCTAATTTATTCAAAGCTGCCCGGGAATAACCAGCCGAAATTAGGCGCAATAAAATTTATGCGAAAATAGCCCCAAAAGACTGTTCCCTAACTTTGCAGGCGTGTTCGCGGAAGGATTCAATGGAGAAGGATGGGGATGGAGATGGAGATGGAGGGACTGGCAGGCTTCGATGCGGAAAAGTTCTGTGCGGCTAATCACTTCTTAAGTTATTTCTCGTGCAGACAACCCATTGATTGGTTGCCGCTGGCAGAGTTATTTGCATTGTTCAGAAGTCAGTTGAAATTGCTTGGAATGGCTTGTAATTTAGGCACAATAAATTGAAGTAATGAATAATTAGGCTGTGGAAGTGAATAGCAAATTAAAATCAAGACACCCAGATGGAAGCGCCAGTCGGAAGACGGGGAAGCATTGTGTTTATTTCTGTGGGATGTCCCCCGATCTTCTGGGGATCAAGCCGATATTGTGCTGGTTTAATTTTAAATGTTGCTAAACGATGAAGTCGATTGGCAAAAAGGAGTGGAGCGTTTATTAGCAGGTTTGCATTAAACATGTAAATTGTTATATCGCTTTATAATTAAATTAGAGCGCAGCCGTAGGAGAATTTTTACAGCCGCATTAACTTTACAAACAAATAGAAATTAACCATTCTAGTTGTTTTTCATCTGCTTTGATAATCAACCACAGCAAGAACTCATCCTTCATTTCTCAAAAACAACATCAACAACTGACGCAAATGACTTCCGGGCAATTGAAATGAAAATGATAATCCTATTTTCCCACCCCACATTCGCCCACATGCATATTAATTAATTATATAAAAACAAGGATTTAACAAAAACCCACCGATTAATGTCGGTAAGCTCGGTTTTTTTTACCCTTTCTTACCACTCCTCTGAACACAATTATGCAATAAATGCTTCAACATGTTTGCACAACTTTTAATTATAATTATAGAATTGCTAATTTGAAATACGGCGAATGCAAATCGCTGGGCGTTGGACGGCGTGAAAGTCTAGCTTCTGCCACGCCCCGCAAGGGGTGTATACCTATGCAGAGGGTATATTGGTTTCTGTCAGAAGTTTGAAGCGCAGTGAAGGAGACCATATATATTATATATTCTTGATCAGTATCAACGGCCGAGTCGATATAGCCATGTTCGTCTGTCAGTGAGTCAGTCTCTTTGAAACCGTTTCTTGTTTTTCTATAAGTCGGAACTGACGGGTCGGGACTAATATATCACATAGCTGCTGTTATTGAAAAATAAGTGAAACAATAATGTTCATTTGCTGTTATTGATCATAAAAGGTTTTGATTCTGTATACAACAGTTTTCTAACAATACCTAATTTATTTTTGAAATCAGTAGACTATATCATATAGCTGCCAGAGGAAAAGTTCAAAATAATTTTGCAGAAGCCATAGGTTCGATGTTTATGAACTTAGTCCTTAATCCTGTTAATCGAAGTGTATAAATTAAAGTACAGACTAAAGTGTTCTCACCTGTTTTTGGTATACATATATTTTCTGCAAGGGTATATAACCATCGGCTTGCCAAAGCTATCTTCTTCTCGTTTTTACTTGAATTTAACTGCATTAAAGCAGTAGACTTGATCGCTTGCAGTATGCAGCGGCACGTAACAGCCTTAACCTGTTTTCCTCGGATCGTGGGGAAATCGCAATGCTCGGGAAAACCCCCTATTTAAAAGATGTGACTCTTACATAGATGCATATAAGTATGTAAAAACGAAAACGTGGGAGTTATTGGATTGCCAATTGAATAAATGAATCGGTTTTAAAAAATGTACTTATATTTTTGGTGGAACGTTGTATAATCTACATCAGCGCATTAATATCTAAAATCAACTCGCCGAATTTGAAAATGTTTGTACATATATTTACTTTATCTTTATCTTTATCTGTTATCTTTATACCCTTTACTCGTAGAGTAAAAGGGTATACTACGTTAGTTGAAAAGTACATATGTATGTAACAGGTAAAATTAAGCGTTCCCGACGCGTTCCCGTTCATCTGTCAGTCCGTATAAACGTCGAGATATCAGGAACAACAAAAGCTAGATATTGGGATTCATTGAATACTGATGCTGCCACGCACACTCTAACGCCAAAAAGCTGCACAAAACTGTCACGCCCGTACTTCTGAAAAATTTAAAATTTTCTGTAAATGTATTATTTTTTCCCCAATTTCTATCGAAATCACGGAAAAGAGTTGAAAATTCTCGATCGCACTTCCAGCAGCTGAGTAACGGATATTTGATAGTCGGGGAACTCTACTGTAGCATTTTTGTTTTGTGCCTGCTCTATTAGAAATTTACAAATTCTTGGTGTAGTAAATGTGATTTAAGTGTATACTGATGTGCGACAACAGTAAACAAGTGTTGTTGACCACTGTAGCCATTTTAACTGTCACCCATTTTAAACACTTTACATATCACTATGTTTATACTATACCCAAGCGGAAAATCAAATATTACCGACTGCGTTGTCCCGTTAGTTTCTGCGCGTATCGCCACACCTTCTCTTCATCAGATTCCTCTTTGCGCTTCTTGCTGAAACGATGTGCGGTTCGGGTATTCGACTTTTTTTTTTTTTTTTTTTTTTTTTTTTTTTTTTTTTTTTTTTTTTTTTTTTTTTTTTTTTTTTTTTTTTTTTTTTTTTTTTTTTTTTTTTTTTTTTTTTTTTTTTTTTTTTTTTTTTTTTTTTATAAAGCGACGAATCCGTACATGCAGTACTAGTACCATAACATTGCAATTAAACATATAAATAATATAACCAAACTTCTCACTTATCGTGGGAAGACTAACAACAGAGTCTCAAACGTCGAGGGGGTCTTTAAAGCTGTCCAATTGTTTTGGCAAAGCCCTTTCTTTTAAGCCTTCTTAGAGGCCTGGCAGGGAGTAGGCGTCTTGCTAGCATGCTGTGGTGTCTTTTAAGCCTATCACTGTATCTGCTTGTGTGCCTTGAGATCTGTTCTTCCACTGTATGCAGATTAAGGTCCCGATGAAGGGTTGAGCTACGTACATAGTATGGGCAGTTGGTGATGGCACGCATTGCACGATTTTGCAAGACCTCAATGCGTTTATAGTTCGATTTTGCAGCAATACCCCAGATCTGCACTCCATATAGCCAGATCGGGGCTATACAGTGGGCGTATACTGCCCTTTTGGCTCTAAGTGTCATGGTGCTTCTTCTGTTGATCAACCATCGCAGTTGTTGCATTCTCTGACCGCATCTCCGTGCCGCAGCTTTTAAGTGTGGGCCAAAGGTCAACCGTTTGTCAAGGGTGATCCCAAGGTATTTAGCCTGCAGAGGTTGTTCTAGGGTTACGCCATCAAATTGTATGGGTGGTGTGCGCCTAATGAGAGTCTTCAAGGTGAAACAAGGATTGATGGTCTTAT